GTGTGAATCGCTCTCCTCATTAGCATATGATGTGAAACGTTTGTTAACTACTGTCATCCTAAGCTGTTTCTACAGTCATATTGTATCAATCAGTGCTAACGTGTGAATCGCTCTCCTCATTAGCATATGATGTGAAACGTTTGTTAACTACTGTCATCCTAAGCTGTTTCTACAGTCATATTGTATCAATCAGTGCTAACGTGTGAATCGCTCTCCTCATTAGCATATGATGTGAAACGTTTGTTAACTACTGTCATCCTAAGCTGTTTCTACAGTCATATTGTATCAATCAGTGCTAACGTGTGAATCGCTCTCCTCATTAGCACATCATGTGAAACGTTTGTTAACTACTGTCATCTTAAGCTGAGTACTCTTGTTTCTTCTAACGTGTGAATCGCTCTCCTCATTAGCATATGATGTGAAACGTTTGTTAACTACTGTCATCTTAAGCTGGGTACTCTTGTTTCTACAGTCATATTGTATCAATCAGTGCTAACGTGTGAATCACTCTCCTCATTAGCATATCATATGAAACATTTGTTAACTACTGTCATCCTAAGCTGTTTCTACAGTCATATTGTATCAATCAGTGCTAACGTGTGAATCGCTCTCCATATTAGCATATCATATGAAACGTTTGTTAACTACTGTCATCCTAAGCTGAGTACCTAAGCTGAGTACTCTTGTTTCTACAGTTGTATAATTGCCCCATTTCATTATGATGTCATATCAAAAGGATTATGTATGGTAGCGGTGCAGATTGACTGCATATCAAAAAATGTGTAGGCATTCTTTCATACACTTACATTTATCAAAGATGATACATTAGAGTTCTACTTTTGGAGTGAATATAAATTGGTCCAAATTTCCATTTTTAAAGCATTTTCCTTAATCTGATGTAAACGTACAGTGAAGTCATATGAATTAGGGCAATTAATTAATGCTTAAGTTAGAATTGCTCTCCTTATCTAAGCATATCACGTAATATGGTGGGAACTAGCGGTAAACTAGTGTGAGCTGCGTCGGTGTTTCTAAAGAAACAGTTATGTAAAAAGATAAATTTAACACCGTAAAAAAAGTTCACAAGTTTTTCCACATACTTTTTTACGGTGTTAAATTTATCTTTTTACATAACCATATCACGTAATACTTCTATATAAAAAGCGTCAGCATAAACTCTAATGTAGCTAGAATGTTAAAATAATATAAAATGTACCCTGCATACATCCAACCCAACATTGCTGTTTTGGTTTGGCTGTGTGCAATCCATTCAAAAACTTTTCCATTGCTGTTGATGACATTGACGGCTTCCAGCATCTGTTGCCAGTACGTCTGTCTACCTTGAGTTTTGTTTTTGTAAAAGTGCTGCGATAGGTTGCAGAGGAAACCTGCAGGTTAATGCTTCCTCATTCAAGAACCAAGATAAACTGTTTTTTCTTTCTAATTTTCCCTAAAATGAAAATATCAATGAATATATTCCA